CCCGCCCGCATCCACACCTCCTCCCGCCTCACGCTCAGTGCTCGCCCAAATCCACGATCGGCACAGGTGCGCGGGGAGAAGAAGTAAGGAGGAGCAGGCGTGAGGGAATGACAATAGGCCCGATCTCAGAAACAAGTTGCTGGAAGACTGCTCAGGTAAGCCTGCACTTTCCCACACATGGTGCTCTATAATGTATTGCTTGGATATTGTATTCCTCTATACCTGATGGTACATTGTGATGTATATTAGATCAGCTATAGAGGAATACAAATCCCAGCAATACATTGTACACTGTATGTATAATGTATTGCTGGGATTTGTTGTATTCCTTTGTAGCTGGTGGTATTCTGCATTGCGCTGTATGGAGGACTACAAATCAAGGAATAATATATTATACAGCGCAATGCGGAATACCACCAGCTATAGAGGACTACAAATCCCAGCAATAATACATTATACAGTGGTGCAATGCCGAATACCACTAGCTATAGAGGACTACAACACCCAGCAATAGTACATTATACAGCACAATGCAGAATACTACCAGATATAATGTACTATTGCTGGGATTTGTTGTACTCCTCTATAGCTGGTGGTATTCTGCATTGTGCTGTATAATGTACTATTGCTGGGTTTTGTAGTCCTTAATAGGCGGTGCCATTCTACATTAATTGCTGTATAATTTTACATTTTTCATTTCACTATATTGCACACCACACTTTTTTTTTCCTTTTCTTCCACCGCTCCAAGCTTGCTCCTGTGATGGACTACAATCTCAATACAAACTAGTAGTCCCATCACTGGAGCCATTTTTTTAAATGTATTTAATGTTTTTATCCGATTAACTGATTAATCGAACTTAATAATCGTCCAACTAATCGATTTTGAAAATAATCGTTAGCTGCAGCTCTAATGTTTAGTTTACTATTTGTATTGAGACTGTAGTCCATCCTGGGAGTGAGCTTGGAGAGGTGGCTCCTGATTTGAGGATCTACAGCCGAGTGATACACAAATAAGATACATTCAAGTACCTTCACTTAACAAAAATGTATTTTTAAGGTTCAACTCCTGAGTTTAAGGGAGCAGAAAAATGACACTAGTGCTGCAGTCTGAGACCAGCAGCTAGCATATCTGGAGAGGGACAGGAGTACAGTGTGAGTTGCACTATCTGGCATGTATTACACCTTTACACATCAGAATTTAGCACAACCTCTGTGCCTGGCAGTGAGCTTTCAAAGATTTGGGTGGAAGGGTCCATTTTCCATGTTCTAACAGTTGTCTGTTTTTTGTTTGTTCCTCAGTATGATCTCTCGGCATCCACGTTCTCTCCGGATGGCAGAGTGTTTCAGGTTGAGTATGCAGCTAAAGCCGTGGAAAATAGTAGGTAGGTGATATTCTCATTAAAAAAATGTCCTTATTTCAGAGTAGATTTATTTCTGCCCTTATTCCAAAATGTCTGATTTTGATACTGATTTAAAAAGGAATAGATTAGCAAACCTAGGAGCATTTACTATCAAGTAGTTTGGTCCTTTTCAGCAACAATAGTACTTTTAGGACTTGGAGTAGTTGGCTGTTTAAACTTGTATTTGCTTTTATGTTTCCAGCACAGCCATTAGCATCCGATGCAAAGATGGAGTTGTGTTTGGGGTAGAGAAGCTTGTCCTTTCAAAGCTTTATGAAGAAGGTTCTAACAAGCGCATTTTTAATGTGGATCGGCATGTTGGGATGGTAAGAACGTTGGAACTGGTTGTTTTTATTTATCTATGTGTAGTCCTCAAAGTGAAAGTGTTGTAATAACCATTGCAAGAAGATCAAGTTATACCAAAGCACAGAAATAAAGCACCGCTCCTCCATGGTTTCAGCAGGGGAGCTCGCCGGCAGGAGCGTGCCCTCACTACAGCCAAACAGGTATATATAGTAAAGGAGGAATTTGGCCGCACTCCATTCCACACGGAATCATTTTATTGAAAGTTAGTCAGTGACACGGAGTCCTGCCTGAGCTCGATGTGGCTGAACTTTCAAAAAACTGACTCCGCATGGAATGGAGTGCGGCCGGATTCTTCCTTTACTAACATCGAGTTATTGTTTTATAATTTGTCATTGTCAGTTATAACTACGGAATTAGTCTGAGTCTGCTTGCTGAAGCTAAGAATTGCAAGTAAGCTCTACTTTTTGCATAGCATTCGATTAGAGGTCCTCTTCTTAAATGAATTATAAACATGGTCTATAAGGGTAATACATCCTCCGGTGTATAACACTGTCCTGAAGCAAGGTCTTTTAAATGAACAAGGACTTCTATTATCTGCACTATTGTAGTACATTTATTTGACCAAAGTCAGAGTTGCTTTGGAAAGTGAAGGACCAGCAAGCTAAAGCACTTGCTCTATTTACAAAGTGAAAATAAGGTGAAGTCGTGCTGACATCAATCATCTAGTTATGTGCAAGCAACAATCCATATTTTGATGGATCAGTAAATATTATTAATATTTCAGTATAGGTTCACTTTAAATTTCGGCCGTTTAAGTAGCCCGGCCAGCCACATCCAAAATACTGGATTTAAAACCTCCAATCTATTTATCTGTACAGGGAAGTGTAGATATGGGAGACGCACTTTGTAAACTTTACTTAAGTGCCCAAACTTTACACGTTGTGAATGAATCCGTGTAGCAATGTAATGAATTTGTGGTTTGCAGGCTGTAGCTGGACTCTTGGCTGATGCCCGTTCCTTGGCAGACATCGCTAGAGAGGAGGCCTCAAACTTCAGATCCAACTATGGTTATGACATTCCATTAAAGGTATGATGATCATTGTTATAGTCAATCACTTTCATTTTGTTTTGTGACCACAAATATAATTTTCTTTTTTTCTTTTCCCCTTTCACCCTCTTGCAGCATCTTGCAGACAGAGTGGCAATGTATGTACATGCATATACACTGTACAGTGCTGTCAGACCTTTCGGCTGCAGGTATGTGATGAGAAGTAACTTTTAGACTAGAAAGGCATCTTTGTAAAGTCTAAATCCCTCTTTCTTCTATTTACTTGTCTCAGGCACTTAGGAAGTAGTGTCAGTTACAAGTCCTGAGAATATATCATGAAATGGATGTCTAATCAGAGGGCTTTAAGCCCCTTGTCCACCATTTTTTCATTTGTCACTTGCTGGTCTTCAGTGGGATCAGGAACACCAGAGAAATATAAGAAATCGTTATCTACTATACATTCTTGTTCCAGGTTAAGGTCCTCCATTAGGGATGAACTGATACAATTTTTTTCCAGACTGAGTACGAGTATCGATACTTTTCCTCAAGTACTCACTGATACCAATTACTGATACTTTATTTTTTTGTGTGTGTCGTGACAGTTTTTCTAAAAGAAAACAGACTAATGATTTTAGGACAGTGGTGGAGCTCCGGGCCCCATCCCAGCTGCAACTCTGATAGTTATGCCTGTAAATAAATTGTATGTTGACTAAAATCCTGCAGTCTTTGGCCTTGTAATTTGTTTTTTCTGTAGTCCATGAATTTGTTGTAAAATGGGTATTATTCAATATGTAGGCTTGAGTTCTTTTTACTGTTTATGAAGGAAAATGTTTAAAGTGCCTTCTGGTATATTGTATGTATGAAGAAAAGTATGTAATGTAATCTTAAAGTAAATGTTTTCATATAAAATGTGTTCTAAATCTGTCATGTTAAGCCCCTGAGTCTTATCCTCGCCTGTCCTCGATCCAGCAAGATATTGCTGTCTTGATTGGTCTACCTTTTTGTGCAGTTACACATTGTGTCTATTGTAAACAACGTGAAGTCCAAGAACGTCATCAGCACTCCAATGTGAAGAAGGGATAGATTTATCCACAAATGTGTCAATAAATGTATCCCTTCTTCACGTTTACATTGGAGTGCTGATGACGTTCTTGGACTTCATGTTATTACACGGTGCCATCCGTGGTCATTGCGAGCACCCACCTGGATCAGACAGGTTTTAATTTCTATCCGGTAAGGAGTGCAGCAAGATACATTGATACGTCTTTGTAAACAACGAACCCCACATGTGGCCCATTGACCCGAGCTGTTAGTGGTACTGGGATCATTGGTTTGTAAAGGGGAAATAGCTGTGATCTGTTCTAGCCTCATGTAACATGTTTCCAGTCCACAGCCTCTGACAGTTTTCTCTAGTTTGTCTGCAGTCCCTGACAGTCCTGCCTACACATATAATAAGCATTCTGTGTAGCCATTTGGTGTGGTCAGGGTCTGTAGTTGAGATCCCCTATACCTTTTTATAAGTTGCAAAGTAAAAGCAATGAAGCGCCGCAAAAAATCTCTCCTCAATGGGAAATCCTCTTGGGCATGCTGCAGGATGCTGCCCCAAAAAAGCCGGGAAAGCTGTGGGATCTAGGAAGAGAAAACGGAGGGGGTGCCTTTCCTGGTACAGGTCAATTTTAATTTCAATGGTCATTTAAAAACGCGTTTCTGGGGCACGCCCCCTTCATCAGAACATCATGTCCTGATGAAGGCGGAGTGCCCCAGAAACGCGTTAGCGTCACTCGCACACAGGAACCCCCCCAGTGGATGTCCATCTGCTTGTCAGCTTTCACTTTATAGGCTGTTTTTTACTTATGTTTGTGAGTACCTTTCTGTTTTTATATGACCATTGAAATTAAAATTGACCTGTACCAGGAAAGGCGCCCCCTCTGTTTACTCTTCCTTTTATAAGTTGACTACAACTACTTTAACCCTTTCACTGCCACAGACTTATGCCTTACGTCTGTAGCAGCAGCAGGCCCCTGTAAGCAGACTCCTGGTCTGTTTACATGTGTAAAGCCGAGTGTCAGCTTACTACTGAAAGTGAAGCCGCCCAATCACTTCCATAGAATGTCAAACGTGGGGCAACATTTCCCCTGCCATGTTTCCCAGGCTCACGTTCCTGTCTGTAGGCCTGGGACCAGCATGGTAGTTACATAGGTTGAAAAAAGACATCAGCCCATCCAGTATAACCTATAGAGTTACGAAGAGAAAAAAGAGAGAGAAGAAAAGCCTAACAGAGGAAGGCAGAAAACCCCTATAAATCATGGTTCATTTTGCTCCAACTGGGAAAATTCTTCCTGATTCCATAAGGCAATCGGATATTCCTTGGATCAACAATCTCTCTAGGGGGTGTTAAAAGAAGGGAGGCGGACCTCACATTCATTCGCTGGTCTCCTCTCCTGTGAATGAACCTGGGAGCTTTTGATCATTTTTTTCAATTCTGTTTTTTGAGCTGTCATTCCTCAGCCACAGAGTGCTCAGAGACATTAGAAGGTACATACAGATCCATCAAGACACACCAGCTTCTCATTCCCATTTCTGTTTTTAGAGCATGTTTTGTATGCAGAGTTAACTCTAACAGATCAGTATCTTTAAATTGCATTCATTGAATTGGTTTTCTTTATTTCTTATACAGTTTCATGTTGGGATCTTACAATGAAGATGATGGAGCTCAGTTGTACATGGTTGATCCTTCAGGTATATCCTATGTAAGTTCTGTTTTTCCGCTTTTAACTAGACTGTAGGTTCCTTTAGTACAGCAGGTAAGACTATAGTAATATAGTGTTCCTTTCTACCTCGGAGTGTCACTTCATGTGCAGAATGATCAGACGTTTGCCTATTAAAGGAGAACTATGGGGTGAGTGAATTACACCCATGCCCATAGTTAGAGCCGATGTGCGACATTGAAACTGTCACATGTCGGCTCTATTGATCAGGAAGTGAGTGAAAACATACCGTCGCTCGCTCACTTCCGATCATCTCCCTGCAGAGAGCGGTGACCCAGGGGGATTCCTCCTCCGATCCTCCAGCGCTGACCTAAGGAACGGATGGGGAGAGGGTGGGCACAGTTGGCTCTGCTTTTAGATAGGCAAAGCCTGCTGCCAGTCAGGCAGCTGGGTGGATCTCGACAGTAATGTCTGCATCTGTCTTGGCTGCGGCGCTCCCAGCATGCCCGCTATATGCTGAGTTTTGGGTCACGGGAGGACACAGTATATGTCCTCCCGTGACCCTGAGGAGAGCTATGGGCAAAAAAGGTTACCCCATAGTTCTCCTTTTAAGTAGTTCTGTGTGATCACTGTGTGCTCAGAAATATTACTAGGGACCAACTCTACTAGTCTGGTCTTGAATGTTGCTGCAAAGATATATACAGTGAGAGGAAGTATTGCCTGTGATTTAGAATAGAAAATCTCATCATTGTTTCTTTATGTAGAAAACAAAAACCGCATTAGTGATTTTCCAGTGGACGGTTGTCCCTTTTTTTTTTTTTTTGTCTAAAATAATTGTGTACTTCTGTTTCCTGCAGGGTTATTGGGGATGTTCTATTGGTAAAGCCAAGCAAGCAGCCAAGACAGAGATTGAGAAACTTCAGGTGAGTGTGACATTGTTACATGCGATCTGAGGGAAACAAGTAAAACCAAGGTGGATGGGCAGCTATGTCTCCGAATCTGATCATGATATGTTAGAACTACCACTATTTATTTAATCTTCTGCTTAACTGAATACTGTCGGAGTATCTTCAAGCTGCACTCCAGGCAAATCAAACCAGTTTAGAGGAGGTTTGCATTCATTTAAAAACACTTTAATGTAGTTACATGTACAACTTGCATAAGTACCTTACACTTAATATCGACCTCTTGTTATTCCAGCATGATATTCAGAACTAGGAGGAAATCGGAGTTGATAAGCTATCAGAGTTGTACATTAAACAGACTACAGACAATGAGGGGACACCATTGTATTCCTTAAAATGTCATTTACACTTTTGCTGTGAAATGTGAGAAAACCTCTCTATATGTTTGTGTTCCTATTCGCACAGCATATTAAAAAAGAAAGTTTCTTACATTTTTTTAGATGTTTTGTTGTAGCAGACAAGATGGCTGAATCAAAGTTTTTTTTTTTTTTTTTTTTTTTTTTCTTTTCAGCACCTTCACAGTGATCTGTCCCTATAGAAAGACTTAGGACTGAAATTTGAGGATTGTTTCTCTCTCATTAACTTCATTACCATACAATGGAGAAGCCAGGCATTTAAAGGAGAACTATGGGGTCAGTGCTTTTCTCCATAGTTCTCCTCAGGGTCACGGCAGGACATATACTAGCCTCTTCCCGTGAGCCAAAGCTCAGTATATAGCTCGCGATATGAGACCCCTGCAGCCGGGACGGATCCCGACATTACTGTCGAGATCCACCCAGCTGCATGATTGAAAGTTGGCTTTGCCTATCTAGAGGCAGAGCCAGCTATGCCCGCCCTCTCCCCCGTCCGTTCCTGCAGTCAGCGCTGGAGGATCGGACAGGGGAGGGGGGGAATCCCTGCAGGGAGCCGTGAGTGACAGTCACAGCTCTCTGCAGGGACAGGATCGAGAAGTGAGCGAGCAGCGGTATGTGTTCTCTCACTTCCCGATCTATTGAGACGACGTGTGACAGTTTTATTGTCGCACGTCGGCTCGAACTATGAGGAGTGAAAATCAATCGCCTCATAGTTCTCCTTTTAATCCTTTAACCCCTACCAGCCTAAAGGTGGCCATACACTTTACAACCATCGCAAGACCTTAGTCTTGCGATGGTTGTAAAGTAATTTAAAAAACGTACGACCTGCCCATGTTGGACAGGCAGATCGCACTCTCGATCATCGGAAGCCTGCTATGTCAATGGGAACATGCCACAAATATAAAAATAGATGTTATCCCAATTTGGCTGCAGAAGTGGAAATGCACCTTAACTCTTGCAGATAATACGTTTTGTGCCCCCCTCCTGGCTGTGCTGTCTAATAGTAAAAAGTGGCTGGACAGCATTACAGATAATAGGTTTACATATGTGTAGCCCGTTTGTTTAGGTAGCTGTTGGAGCTGAGCTTATATTTTCCTTCCTTCTCTGGTTCCTCTTTTCCTTCCTGTTTAAATAAAACCGTTCCGGTTTCTTTACATACATTTTTTTTTTTTTTTTTTTACCCAGTCATTATCCCTGGATCTCTGCAATGCTGACAGATCATGGTGGATAGGAGTGGCCATCAGGGTGCTGTACATAACTTCCAGATAACAGTACTCCTGATGCAAGCAGTGGGCTAACTCTTGGGAGGTGCTTTGCAAATATTGAAATGCCTTGATGGGTGGATGGCAGTCTGGAGGAGTGGGCGTTTCTAGGCAGGCGGCATTTGTATGTGGATTTTCCTAGGCAATGCCCACATGTGATTTTGATCCTCCATGATTGAAAAAACTAAAATCCAATTAATTAAAGGAACTGGGGAGAGTTAGATAATGCTGCACATCCTCCAGCCAGAGGCCGGCTCTGTCTTACTTGTTGCAGCTTCTAATGCACACTGTAAGGACCTTTTATTGTACAGGAGAAGAGCCTATATAACTAAAATTTAGATGAGGGCTGGGTGCAGCTTTAAAGCCCATTTCCACCTGTGCAGAGGTATTTAAAAAAAACATATGCCAGCAATGTACTCCAGTGTGAAGCTGGCATATGCAGTTGCTGTATATGAACACAGAAACTTACCTTTTCGTTAGTTAGCTGTCCTCTTCATCGCCTTATGGCTCCTTTTTTAAAATGCTCTGCAGGCAGTCTGGTAATTAGAGGCTGCTGTGAACAGTAGGAACTACAATGTAGGACATGGAAAACATTTTTTTCCACAATGCTATGCTTTCCTCGTGCTCTATCTTCTCTGTGGAAACTGAGCTCTCTCCCCCTATGTATTAATATTCATAGTGGCAGCATAGTGGTGTTGGGGTTAGCGCTTCTGCCTTGTAGCGCTGGGGGTGCCTGGTTCCAATCCCGGCCAGGTCACTATCTGCAAAGGAGTTTGCATGTTCTCCCTGTGCTTTTATGGGTTTTCAGAGGGTACTCAGGTTCCTTCTACACTCCAAAGACACGCTGGAATGTTAGTTGGCTCCTGTATAAATTGGCCCTGTATGTATGCATGTAAGACGAGGACCTTTTAGATTGTTAGCTCCTTGAGGACAGGGACCGATGTGTAAAGTGATGCATACAAATTGTCGGTACTATATAAATACCAATAATAATTAAAAAAAAAGAAAAACGCCCCGGGACAGTGCAAAGCAACCTGTAGAGGCAGAGCTGGTGTGCAGTGATCTTGTTACCATGAGTCAGTTGGAGGGGGTTAAAGCCTGTACGAGACAATTTGACCCCTGTATCAGACTGACTTTCCTGTGGAGGGAGTTTTGAAATTTGTAGGTCTCAGGCCCACTAAAAGGTCCATAGAATAAAAACCCAGCAATGCGAGTCATGATAAATGTACACACACATATACATCATCACTGCACCTCTACATTACCAGAATAAATACAAATCACTTACAAAGGTGGAAATGACCTTTAAATACACTTCTTGTTTTACAAGCGAAGAAAAGAAAGTCTGCTCGATCCTTTTCAATGCAGAATCCTGAAAATAAGCTTTCATACGTTGGTGCCATGACAAACAAATTGCCATGTTTGTTCCTTTGTATAAATACACTGACCTCCTCCTGATGTTTTGTGCTTGTCAGATGAAGGATATGACATGTCGGGAAGTGGTTAAAGAAGTAGCAAAAATGTGAGTATGGTCGTTCTCTACACACTGGTCATTATAGATGTACACGGAAATGTTGCCAACAGCAGCCACAGTAGTCTTCTAATATATGCAATTGTATAAGTTTAAAGAAGTGTAGTCTTTGCTTTTTCTGTACATAAGGCATAAGGGGCCAAATGGTTCATCCCGGTGCTACCGAAATCACATATGTTAGACAGCTCTTCTGCCATTCTATAGGGCTTGCATTGATTTTCAGACCTCTAAAGGAAACAGAAATATTGGGCTACCATTTTGAAAATGTGTGTTAATTTTTTTGGCTGGCTGTTACTAGTCTCAATACTGTAGACATTGACTTGGGATTAGCATGCAGATCAAAGAATTCACGAGCCTTGGGGCCTCGTTTATAACAGACCGTGGTTTTCCATATCTGCTCTCTGTAATACTGCACTGGGGTATCTAAACTGCAGCCTGGATTTATCACATTAAAAATGGGCTGCAGTGATTAGCCGGTGTCGTCCGAAAGAGTTCTTTCTGGTAAGTGTGGCAGTGGAGAGCTGGTTATGGGACTTTGACATGTGTTCTCTCTCTCTCTCTCCCTCCCTCCCTC